AGACAGACAGAGAGAGAGAGAGAGAGAGAGACAGAGAGAGACAGAGAGAGACAGACAGAGACAGACAGAGACAGAGAGAGACCTAAGAAGAGAGCCCCAGTGAAGAAGAGAGATTGCCATTTTTTATCCCTTCCTTGACCAAATGTGAGACATATAAACTGACCAATCAGCAATCAACCGCTCTCCACACCGTGCTAAATTTGTGACAATTAGCAGACCCCCAAAGTATGTACATCTTGGCCTACAGACCTTGATGACTATCAGCATTTCTGTCTTCAGAAATTCCAAATGGCCCTTTTGTTACTCAAGATAGGTTTGGGACACGAAAACAAATTATTTTTGATAATTTTCAACCTTATATACTCAAACTGAAAATTCTCTCCAAAAATGCTCTAAAAATGTAAACTTTGACCTTTTAAATACTCACTTGACTATGTTCAGTGACTGAAATGCTCTATATTTCTATTATTCAATAAATAAATCATATTTATGTATGCTGAGAATTCTAACCTAACATAAGTATATAAACCATAAATGTGACCCTGGACCACAAAACCAGTCATAAGGGTCAATTTCTCGAAATTGAGATTTATACATCATCTGAAAGCTTAATAAATAAGCTTTCCATTGATGTATGGTTTGTGGGACAATATTTGGCCGAGATACATCTATTTGAAAATGTGGAATCTGACAAGGTACAAAAAAATCTAAATACTGAGGAAAAATCGCCTTTAAAGTTGTCCAAATGAAGTTCTTAGCCATGCATATTACTAATCAAAAATTAAGTTTTGATATTTTCACGGTAGGGAATTTACACAATATCTTCATGGAACATGAGCTTTACTTAAAGGGGTCATATGATGCTGCTAAAAAGAACATTATTTTGTGTATTTGGTGTAATGAAATGTGTTTATGCGGTTTAAGGTTAAAAAAACACATTATTTTCCACATACTGTACATTATTGTTTCTCCTCTATGCCCCGCTTTTCTGAAACGCATCGATTTTTACAAAGCTCATCGGTCTGAAAAAGCGAGGTGTGCTGTGATTGGCCAGCTATCCAGTGCGTTGTGATTGGCCGAATACCTCAAGCGTGAGACGGAAATGTTACGCCCCTTGCCATATTGTGATGATGCCCTGTCAGGCCAGAGCGATGATTCAAAAACATGAAAACCCATTATAAACGAGGCATTCGTTGGATCCAGTGGGGACATAATTATGGTTTATAATGACTTATACTGTCTTTTTACACGGAGCATCCGGAAGGACATGTGACGACTCCGGGCTGGACTCCGCTTTGCTGAAAATATACCCAAGCGACTTAAGACTGCATGGTTTTGTGCTCCAAGGTCACAAATGTTTAAGAATCACTTCTGGGCGATTCATGATAAGGTAGATCTTGAACCGCACGCTCATGCCAGAAAACTAATTGGCCCAAATGCATCGTTTGACTTTTCGGGGATCATCTACTCTTCCTCTTTCTATGGCTCTGCCTCTGACCTACTTTCTCTACAATCTGAATTTCTGCGTATTGAATTTTAGAATATTGAATTTGATCTTCCGAATTTCCTCTTCATCTTGAAAACTGTATTGTATTTTTAAAAACTGGATATTTGCCGTCTAAGATTTTAGAACAAAAAAAATTGCTGTTTGAAAATACATGTCTTTAAAACTCTGCCATAAAAATATTCAGTTGTGTTAAATTTCAAATGTTTAATATTCAAGTTAAAAAAAATCTAATTCAGAACCATGTTAAATGCCACATAATATTCAGTTTTGTTAAATGACACTTGTCAATAATTCAAATTTACACAATACAAATTCAATTAGTTTTGTCATATTATAAGCTCCATACAAAACAAGCTAAATAAGGTCTCAAATCTCTGGACTATTGATGAGGTAACCTGAGGTAATTTTTAAACGAAGTCCAAAATATTTTAATTCAACCACCTAGTTAGATTATATTTGATGGGAAAAAATTAAGACGTGATGCTCAGAACATGGTTATAGTGGGAAGCAAGTGGCTAGGGGGAGTTTTACCCCACAGACTAGGTTTGAATTAAAAAAAAACAACAACTTCATTATGAAAATATAATTAAATTTTTCTTTAAAAACACATATTACCTATCTACATGCCTTACTATTCTCATACCATATATAACTGTGATGTTCTGTAAAACAACAAGCTTTAATACACTTATTTTCTTACTGCTGAAAATTAGATCATTTACCGGAGAAATCCATTTTCTCTCAGGTATGTTGCCAGTGCAAGCTTCACAGTGAGTACTTCTACATTACTCTTGTCAGCATAGTATAACAACAACAAAAACGTACCTTATGTTTTCCCCCACTCTACCCTATGTTTGAGGTTACCATTGTGCTGAAGAGTAGAACCTGACAAAGGTATATTAAGACTATCTGTATGCTTCTTTGTTTAAAAGTAGTAATATACTTGCTGATGAAATCCCGAGAGCTTTCTGACCCTCCATAGACAGCAAGGGAACTACCACGGTCAAGGCACAGAAACGTAGCAGGGACATCGTGGTAGTTCCTTTGATGTCTATGGAGCAAGATTCATCAAAAATATCATAATTTGTGACAACCGTCTTACGGGTTTGGAACGACGTGAGGGTGACAGAATGAGGCAGACAGAAACTATCGCTTTAAGAATAATGTGAATTCTTCACTCCAGTGATTCTGTTGAAAAATGTATAAATCTAATATGTTTGGCTAACCTTAGACAATTGCAAATAGCAGATAATATTAGTATAATTTTCATATTGGTATGATCAGTCCTCTGCTTCAGATTAATTTACTAATTCACTGCAGAGGATCCATTGATGAGCAAGTAATGTAAGGCTACATCTTGTAAATCTGTTCTGAAGAAACAAACATCTACTTGGATGACTTGAAGGTACATTCTCAGAAGATTTTCATTTTTGGTTTCATTTTTCCTTTCAAATATAAGATGACAGAAGCTTAAAAATAACAATACCCTGAACAAAACTGTACAAAAGAGTAAGCGTTTAATCATAGAGCCTATTTATTATACACACAACATAACAGAGTGAAATTTCAGTCAGATAAGAACAAATCAAGAATCACTTACATCCATGTGTAGCCTCCAGCCTCTCTGTGGACAGTGGAGCAGTATTACTGTAAATGATCAGTCATTTTAAGTTTGGCCATGATTGTCAGACAGAAGAGAGGAATTAAAGCAAAGATGGCAGGTGTAGAAGTGCTTTGATTTCAGACGCTGCACTGTCAAAACACTAACACACACACAAACTGTGTGTTAATATATATCACTTCCTGTTAGAAGCCAGTGAGCAGATGACAGTGGGACCGTTTACAGCTTTTGTCGGTGGTTAGATGTAAATCGGTCAGGAAATTAACAATAGTTTAACATCAGCTATAAACATTTATGCACATTTAATTTCTTCTCTAAATGTGTCAATGTGATTCAGCGGAGACCTCGCTAAGCTTTCAAGTATCAGCATTTCCTGCTCCAAGTCTGAATCTGTAGGACAGAGTGCAAAACTCTTTAACAGTTACATACACAAGCTTCACCTGCAGAGAGAAAGAGAGAGAGAGACTTTTTTCAATACATTAGAAGCAATTACACACTCTAAACTTTTAGTGTATGTTGCAGAATTTGAAATAAATCAGGCAGTTTCTACTAGTCTGATTCAAGGGTCTATAATAAACAGATCTACAAGACAAATGTTTCACGTTGCTGTACTCATGGGCATTAAAAGAACAAAACATGTTGTTGAACTTATTGAGGTTTGACTGGTCTTGGTGGTGGCTAAACTTAAAATTTCCTACACCAAGAACGAAAAACACATGTGCAGAGGGAATAGCAGCATTAAAGAAAAAGATTTGCATTTACGTGTGAAACAATGCGAGACCAAACTAAGAAATGACAAACCAAAACCCAACCATTCACAGCAGCTGCTACTTTTTATTTAGCACAAAAAAAAAAAAATTAATACATGTTGACATCTTTCACTCCATCATAAAAACCTAAAGACCCGTTTTCAGTTGCTTCCATTGTACTTTCCACAGCCAGTTTCCTCAAATTACCCATACTATGTTCAAGAAAACCACAACTTTAAATAGATACTACCAGTCACTCATAAAACTGTACTGATTTGGTACATCAATCCGCTTCCATTTGCTGGAAATAAGAGTTACAATACAGTCAGGATCCTCTCCAATCCTTATAGAGCTGTACAACTTTATGAGCAGGCAAAATCTATCTTCCACGACACAAATCACCACATTTCATTCTTAACTCCATGTTTTAGCTCCCCCACCCACCCCAATCCAAACCGTTTCCTCAAAAAAACACCATCATTATTGCTAATTTATGATGATCCCCCTCCCTAATCTGCCAGGTATACATTAATGTTCCATCCATTGTCAACTTGTGGATCTTATATGGTATTTCTCGTCTCGTTTCTGGAAAACAGACGGTGCTTCTCTGTTGGCAATACAGTGAAAGGGGATCACAGGCAGTTAGAGACAAATAAGCAATAAACTGATTAGAGGAGAGATTAAAAGCAATGACAAAGCAAAACCAGGACAAAAACATCTCGTTTGCCATGTACCGCACCCGTCAGTTGGTCAACGTTTGTCAAAAGAAAGTAGAGACATGGCAACAAACAGTTTAAGATGTGTGAAGGAGAGAATGCCCACAGGAAAATCATTGACAGCAGCCCTTGTCATGTCCACTTGGGATTTTTATGATTTCACTGGCTGTTTTTTTTCTCTTGGAATTTTCAAGTGTCTTTGATAGTTGTCTGTTCTTTTCTAAAACACTGAGGAAATAAACATTTTCATCCATGTTTCTGCAAAAAGCACCTCCCGTTGGATAGGGAGAGTAAAATCATGTTATACTGAACGAGTTGAATCTACCGATGCGAATAGCGCAAAACTTATGCATCAGGGTTCATCATGAGCTTGTCTGTTGTTACCTATGAGCATGTATGTGTGTGTGTGTGTGTGTGTGCGCATTGTTGTTAACAATCATAACAGATTAAGGTTCCTCATCTCTGATGATGGTAATTACAATGGCTTTAGGTCCATGCGCAGAGAGAGAATAAGAAGAAGAGTGAGGGAGGGAAAGAGAGAAATAAGAGAGAAGAGAAGAAAACACATCTTCTCTCAGTCTGGCAGCAGTAGTGCAGGTCCAAAAGGTCAAAGTTCAAACTTAAAAATGGCCGGTGAATACTCCTTCCTGAAGCAGGAAGTCCATTGGTAGCATCTGTCAGGTGGTCAGTGCGTGATGTCATAAATCCGCCTCGCTGTCATGCGAGAGACAGATTATGGATGGTGGAATGGGTCACTGTAGAACCAAACCCACCTAAAAAATAAATAAATAATTATGGCAGCTCAGTAAGCTGTATATTAAACTTCTAGGATTTTTACACATTGAATTCAAATAAAGAAATAAAATGCTAAATGAAAGAAATGTAATGTAAAAAATAATCAATGGAAAACCACACAAAGTGACACCTAGGTGCTTTGGGAGCCAGATTGTGAAGCACTATGGCCACCTAGTGAATTAACTTGTCAATGCTAAATTAGTGTACAAGCCAATGAACTTAACTTGACTTTGACCGACTAAAAAAGGACTGATTTTATTCTTCAGTCATGTCTATGACATCTGAGAACCTTTACCTTTTCTGACCCCATGCTGGGGCATTTCCAATTGTAGAGGTAATACTGCAGGTTTCCATCTCCAATGCCAAACTTGAGCTTCTCCAAAAATGTCTTGTTCTCCATTAGGTCCAGTGCATTAAAGACATCAAATCCTTTCTGAAGGGGCAATGATACAAGAAAAGCTTTAATAAATCTGCTCAAAGTTTTATGCTCCAGATCCTGTCAGTTACACACTTCAAACTGACGTTAGTCAGTCAGATGGTAGTCTAAATGCTTCACTGCTAGAACAACATTAATTCATTTATGAATAATTTTTCCAAATGACAAAAAAAAATTGTAGCTCACTTCTAGCAACAAATTTACACCAAAACTATAAGTAAACTCAAATTAAGGCTAATTATTGAAAATGGATAATGAAAATCAACAACGGACTTAGGGGTGGGCGATATACTGGTACACACAATCAGAGCCGGGGGGGTTATGAATGACGAGTTATGAATGAATGAATGAATGAATGAAACTAGGCAGCTTGCGTACTTTGCGTATAGGGAGGATCGGCTCTGCACACAATTAACCAGTAGAAATTTGTCCACCGGTAGATTTTGGACTATCATGGTTACATGCTCACTTGATGTTGCTGTGAAAAAAACGAAATCATTTGCACGCGTTTTTAAGCATTGCGGTTTAAAAACAAGTGATTTTAAGCGGCTGAAATGCAACCAGCAGCGAAAGAGAAGTCATTTCACTATATGCGTGCTGTCTGAGAGACTGTTTCTGAGCACTGTCAGAGAGATAGTTTTTGCTGCTTTATAGGCCTTGAATGGTTAAATACAAACACCTCTGTACTGTGTCAAAATGTCCATCTATGCCAGTTTCCTTGTAAACACAGTAATTTAGGTCTTAAAGGGTTAGTTCACCCAAAAGTTCTGTCATTAATTACTCACCCTCATGTCGTTCCAAACCCGTAAGACCTCCGTTCATCTTCGGAACACAAATTAAGATATTTTTGATGGAATCTGAGAGCTCTCTGACCCTCCCATAGACAGCAATGTAATTAATCCATGTTTACAGATCTTCTTTATGCACCAAGAGCTTGTAACACTTCAAAGGAAAATTTGAAATCGCATCATATGACCCCTTTAAAGTGACAGCAGTCTAATATTCCTGCTGTCTGTTATTCATGTTAATCAAACAACAAAAGAGAGAAAATCTCTCACTGCTCTTGACTAAATCACTTTTGTAACTTTAATGAGAAGAAATAGATATATTTTATTTACACAGAAGTACACGCAGTGTATTTATTCATTTGATTACTTTACACAATGCATGTAGCATTTCTTATTTATTTGTTACTGTAGTTTTTTTTTTTTGTCTAATTGCTTGTAATTAGTTCCTTATTCTTGTTTAATCGGCTCTGTGTAGTAAATGCTGCTCCATCTGAAAGCACTTGCTGGTGATTTACTACTAATCACAGAACCGGCTTTACTGACGAGATGAGCATGAAAATGGCATTCGATTTTTTGCACAGCCCTAGTTATACCCCTACTCTTTTCGAAGGACATCCTGGGATTTTTAATGACCACAGAGAGTCAGGACCTCAGTTTAACATCTCATCCGAAGGACCGTGCTTTTTTGACAGTATAGTGTCCCCATCGCTGTACTGGAGCACCCCCTGCTGGTCTCACTAACACCTCTTCCAGCAGCAACCTAGCTTTCCCAGGAGGTCTCCCATCCAGGTACTAACCAGGCTCAACCCTGCTTAGCTTCAGTGGGCAACCAGTCTTGGGCTACAGGGTGATGTGGCTGCTGGCTATAGTGTGATATATATCGTTATCATTAAATAAAATTACTCATATCGTGATATAAGATTTTGGTCATATTGCCCACCCTTAAACAAACTTATCAATTAATTGCGCCTGCGCACAGGAAAAAAAGATTTAGGATGTAATGTTTAGATGTTAACCCTTTTTTGCACAATGTATATCGCAGCCTTCATAGATAATCACTACATTCACTTTCATTGGTGGCACACTGTTTCGAAGACAACATTGGGCAGGATTTTATTTTACTTCTTTTGGGATATAAATGCAAATTTGTGAGTTTTAATTCGATTCATTGAACACAATTGATTATGAGAATAATCATTAGTTGCAGCCCCAATTCATACACAAACATGCTTTCACTGACTGACCGACTTGGCGAGGATGAGAGCGTCTCCCATCAGGTCCAGCAGGGGGGTGGTGGTGTGTACGTTATAGAAGGAATACGCAGCCTTCAGACTGCGATGCACAGGATGGTTCATGATGGTGGACGGCAGAGTGTAGAAACTCAGGAAGTCAGTCAGCTTCCCGTCTGAATTCTACAATGATATAAAGGACAAGCTGTTCACATCAAATATATTTTGCAGAAATAAACTGATTGTCCATTCCGATTTCATTAACACTTTCATGTTTGAGATCACTAGGATGATACATGCCATAGGGTTCAGTGAGTGCAATACCTCCACTACAAAGGTGTCAATGATGTTCTCCTGAGGAAGCAGCCAGTGTTGGACCTCCTCAGGGCTCATGACGGGAACCAGGTTAAACAGACTCAGGTATTCCTTCAGCAGGCGATGAACTGCTGGCACATCCTTTACAGTCATCGGCCTGAGGCCTGAAGTCTTAGGAGCCTACAGCAGAGAAACATGCAATAAGAAAATAAGGAAAAAAGAAAACTACCCAGATATTACCCAGGGAAGCAGGCTGGCACACACCTCTGGCAGTCGGTAGAGCTTCATGGTGCGTTGCATAGTCATGTTTCGACTCAGGTGAGAGAACTTCACCTCAATCAGCTTTCGTGGGTTCAAGGACCGGTGCCAGTATCTACCATACAAATAAGCAAGGCAATTAGTGTGATACAGTGCCATGCGAGTCATTTGATAATTGTTACTTCTCTACATCAGGCTGGATTAATAGGAGTTATTAGTCATTACAAAATAAAGCTCTATAACACTTTATTGAGATTTTAATGTTTATGGGAACTTCGTCGTATATGCTACCTCTCAAAAGTTCAGGCTTGGTACAGTTTTTTTTTATGTTTTCGTAAGAAGCCTTTTATGTTCACCACGAAAACAGTGATTTTGTCAAATTATAACTGATTATTTTTTCTATTTGAAAAGATTTTAAAATGTAAATTATTCCTGATGGTAAAGCTGAATTTTCAGCAGCCATTACTACAGTCTAGTGTCACATGATCCTTCAGAAATCAATAAATAGACAGTTCAATATAACAGCACAAATCTTCTATAACATTACAAATGTCTTTACTGTTAGTTTTAAATAACTTTAATGCATCCTTGCTGACTAAAAGTATTATTTCACTCCAAATTCACTAAAATCTAAGTTGTATACTTTTAGTAAAAAAAAAAACAATAAATAAAAAAATGTGGCAGAATAAGGCATCTTTATGCACCAAGGTCATTTTGTGTCAGAGGGAGGAGTTCGAGGCTAGCAACAGGCGCTTTCGCACCGCATAGTTCTAGGAACTAGACAGCAAGGTCGTTCCTAGAGAACCAGTTTCTCCCTAGGGCCGTTTTCCTGATTGCATTCGCACCGGCAGCAGGAAGTCTGAAGCGGCAGACAAAAAAAATTCTTTATTCTCGGCATTTACAAATGTCAGCAATCGGTGAATGGATGACACCGTGATCGGAGCTGTTTTTATTGCGTGTCCTGGGTTTCGTGATAGCAGAGATGGAATGTAAACGCACAATTTACACGATTGAAAGAGCGTGAAAATCTGACTAAATCTCCTATGACAACTTGTAGTGTTATCATCGAGGCTGAGAAAAGAACAATGCTGCAGACAGGTAAATGCTGTTATCATCACTGTTTTCCATGTTCATGGAGTAAATATTTTTAGACGGCATTTTCAAAATGCCGCGTAGCCGGTGTTTTGTATGTGTTTGGCCAATCAGCGTACACTTACGTCACTGATAGTTCTTATAGAACTGTTTTAGTGCCTACTCTCAAGTAGGAGCTAAATTAGTTCCCCCAAACAGAGTTCCTAGAACTAAATACGTTCCTAGTTCCTGCAGTGTGAACACGACAAAAAGCGGGAACATCCGCCAATAGTTCTAGGAACTATGAAAAGGTTCCTCCGGTGCGAAAGTGCCTAACACATCTGCCACCCAACAGCCCATCTAAGGCTGCGTTTACACTGCAAGTCTTAATGCACAGATCCGATCTTTTGGCCATATCCGATTTTTTGGCACGTCTGTTTACATTCACTTTAGACACTACTGGTATCCGATATCTTTGTTTACATTAATTTCCACCCAAAAGGATTGTCTGCAGTGATCGCTTTACTATGCACATGGTAGACCCTCGGGTTTTAAATGGCCGAAGGAGAGAGAGAGAGAGAGAGAGAACGAACGAACGAACGCATGCACCCACGTGCGAGCGAGCGATTGTGAAGCATTGCAAACAAGCTTGTCGGTTTAATTACAAAATGTGCAAAATGTCCTGAATGTGCAATTTCTTACCTATAAAAAGTTTCCATCTCAATAAAATGCGAGCGCATACAGCACGCCGGCATTAAAACACCATTAAAAATCTTTATGAGCTTCTGTGGTGAATCGGATATGTGTGTTTAGACGTAGGTCGGATGTCCAGATATCAGATGTGTATCAGATTAAAATCCACATTTGGAAGTGGCTCAGATCGGATGCAAAAAAAATCGGATCTCACGCGGGTTTTTGTGTTTACACGTGTGCAACAAATTCCGATCTGTGTCAGATGTGAGCGAAAGATCGGATTTTTTGTGCCAGTGTAAACGCAGCCTAATGCTACCTTTCACTCTGCACAGACGCACCTGTACATTAAAAGAGGGCAGATGTGTGTCTTACCTGCAGGTGCCCACTGGTTTGGGCAGCACCACACCTGCGGTGTACACAGCCTGAAAGATGCCCTCCAGGTTGACCCGTCTGGTGATCTCCCTGATGAGTACCGGAGCCACTCGTTTCGAGCGAAGTTTCTTATGCACACACAGGAAGTTAATCTCCACCATCTTCTTCTCTCTGGAGGAATCGAAGAGCAGATATGGGTCAACAACGGAACTGAGTGACCAACATAAGCACTCTCTGTGTAGACTAATTTAAATGCCTCTGATACACCATTGCATTCATGTGATTGGTGACAATGGTCAGTAAAAATGTTAATCTTTTAACAGTCTTTCTTAAAAATGGTCAGTTATACATAATTAAATTAGAAATAATAGTTTATAATCATTGAATAGTTTGATTAGCCTTACAAAAGAAAGAATGTTTTTCTTTCAGATGTACTGGCGGTCATTAGCTGTCTGTGGATATATTCATACATTACATTTAGTCATTTTGCAGACGCTTTTATCCAAAGCGACTTACAACTGGGGAATACATAAAGCGATTCTTCTTAAAGAGGCAAACAGCCACATGAAGTGCTCGTAATACCAAGTTTCAAGCATTGTTCAAATAAGTACAAGCTAGAAAGGGAAGGAATAAATAAAGAGAAAGGCTAAGTAATTTTTTTCCCATAAATACATTCATGAAAGTGATAGTTCACTGAAAAATGAAAAATATATAAACAGCCTCAGATCATTCCAAACTTGTAGCTGAGTTTCTTTCTTCTACTGAACACAAAATGAGATATTCTGAGAAATGTTGGCAACCAAAAAAGTGGTAGCAATTGACTTCCAAAGTATTTTTTTCCTCCATACTATGGAAGTCTATAGCTACCATCAACTGTTTGATTACCAACATTCTTCAAAATATTTTTTGTGCTCAACAGAAGAAAAAAAACACATACAACTTGAGAGGAGTAAATGAAGACAGAATTGTCTTTTTTTTGGGTGAACTATCCTTTTAATCATTCATTTGACCCATGTTGAATAAGCAGAGGGTAATGGCTGGCTTCACGGCAAGTTTGAAAGCTCAGTGCTACTGCCACTAGAGGCAGCTGAGGTGTTTCTGGACTTACATTCTGATTTTAGTGCATTTAAACCAACATGTAAAAACACTTATGAATGCTTACATTTCATAGATGTGGATGCTGGCTGGTATGGCACTGATGAAACCAACTAGCTTATTATTAGAGTTCACTCTCACCCCACAATGCCACTGAGGCAACCAGCCTGGAGGACGCAGAGCCCTGGGACGAAAACAGAGTACAGCTAAACTGAGAGACGAGGACACATTTCAATTAACTTTTAGACTAAAAAAAATACAGATATAAACAGATAGCTAGCAATTCAAAGACAAACACCATTTCACTCAAATTTGGGAAGACTTTTCAAGCCAAACTTTCTTACCAGAGCAGAAATTCAGGGGAGTAATCAAAACGAAACATGTTGTCATCATCCTCCACATAGTTCTCATTCAGGAGAGTGTACAACTCTTTCAGCTTCAGAGAGAGGAAACAGAAAACAGCTTTAAGACTGAGTTGTTTACAGCTGCATATTTGTATGTATAAGATATCAAAGGGGAGATTTAGTGGTTCGTGTGTCGTACCACTGCAGGGTTTCCCAGGTCGAGAGTGTCCCAGGTGAAGCCCTGCGGGAGGCTGTAGGGCTCATCTCGTATGTTGTCTTTATCTGGCTCAATGCAGCCATGTGACATCACAGTCTCTCCTACAAAAAAAAAAAAAAAAAAGAAAAAATCAGACTTCTGTCATCAGAAACTTCACACTGTGCCACAAGTCACGAGTCTCAAGAAAACAGATGTTGTACTGCTGAAAATTTGCATTACTAAAAAGAAATAAGTGATGTCAGATCAAAGAATAGTTCTAAAAAGAAAGCAGATTACTTTAAATATTGAAGTAAAAAAAAAACATGCTGCAAGTATAATGGAACACATGATCAATACCAAGTTTAGGAACAGGCTGAGTGTCCCAGAACTGATAACTGCGCCGTGTGGCCTCCTCCATGGTTTTAGCCGGACCCTGTCCCACCGAAAACAGCTCAATGGCCTTCTGGATCTCCTGTAGCTTTTCCGCAGGAAGGGAGTTCACCTAAGGAAGAGACAAAGACAAGTGAAAATGGGTAAAAAAATAAATTAAACAAAAATAGAACAATGGTGCCATATTATCAGACAGTAATTAACACTTTAAAGAAAACCATGGTATTCATAGTATTTCCTGCACTAAAATATAGATATCAATTAAAATATTTTAACTGTACACAAGTGGGCCACGAATTTGGGACAGCCCTTGTAAAGAAAAACTACACTTAAGAGGTCATGTACCAATATAACATTTCAGGCTGATACTGCTATAAGCTGAAATACAAGGCAAAGGTAATCTAGATGTGAACAATCTTGTGTCAAACACAGAGCCATACAAACACACTCACTTTGGCCAGCGGATCCTGTGCTGCATCTTTTCCTCCGGACTTGTCTTTGTTCTTTTTCTTCTGTTTCTTTTTCTTCTTCTTGGCACCTGTGTCGCCCTTCTCCCTGTGGGTCACATGAACTCAGTTGACACGAGCAGATAGATATAATGTGAGGTTCCCTTTCATGGGAACTTCGAACTGCGTCCTCTAGGGGTCGCTATGGGGGAACGCCTCGTCGTGACCCGTGTCTGAAGCATACATTGAAAAAACACCAACAATACATTGGCCGGCGACAGCCATGACATCACTACTGGTGTGACTATAGTATAAATAGGTGCCGGGAGAACACATCATCCTCTTCTTCGTCTTCACTGACTGTTTTGTTTGAAGCATGCATTTCCGTGGTAAGAGCGATCCCTATTCATTCATTATGGCGAGCACTAGCAAAGCGTTTAGAAGATGTGTGCATCCGTGTCATCGCTATTTGACACCCGATGACACACACGATCTATGCGTTGTTTGTTTGGGCGAAGAGCACTTTCCTTCCTGATCTCCATACTGTGATCGAGAAGGAATGGAAGAGGCCGTTTTCCTCACGCATCCATCGGTTCCAGCATACCAGTTATGCCAACATCGAGGCGATGCGCGAAAACGGCTATGAGAGGATGCCCCCGGTAGAAGAGACGCTAGCCAGCTATCTCTCTATGGGTGAGATATCTTCTCTCAAAACTCCCTCCTTGCCATCCAAGCCCTGATGAGGTAGCTGAGTTGCGCCGCACCATGGATCTCGCTCTCCGTGCTACTTAGCAGGCTGTCTCTGCTATGGGCAGATCCATGGCGGCTATGGTAGTGACAGAGAGGCATCTGTGGGTGAACCTGGCAGATATCGGGAGGAAAGAAAGGGACTTTCTTCTCGATGCCCCGGTTTCGCCCTCTGAACTTTTTGGAGACGAGCACAAAAGGCTAGTGTCGCGACTCGCGCTCCTCCCACGCCTGCGGGTAGGTCAAAGGGAGGTAGGCAAGACCTAAGGGATGTGATCCAGTCAAGGCGTCAAGCGCTTTCGTCCGGATCAGAGTGATACTTGAGTATCTACTAATTTCCCTCGGGGGGGTTAACATCTGCCCTTATCTTCCCCTTCCTAATTCCCCTGTAACCACCATCTCTCCACCTGACCGAGGTTAGGTAGGA